CTTGTTTATAATTTACTTTATTTGCTTTTTACACAATTTTTTTCATAGCTAGTAAATTCTTTATTTTCTTATATCATATTTTTTACCTAATCTTATATTATTTAATAATTATTTTCTAATAATTTTTCAGTCTTTTTATTTTGTAAAGAATTCTATTAATTACTAGGCGATTGAATATATTCTGTTTTAATAGCACTATCTTTAGAATTTGGTTTAAAAAACTTCATAATACCATTTTTTTTGAGCTCATTTTAATATTCTTCATAAGAAAGCAAACATTTTTGACTTTAATTTTTATTATTATTAACATAAAGTCCTGCTTTATAAAACATTATTTATTCTAATTCTTTCTAAACAAAATAAAAAATAATATTATAAAGAAATTATAATATAAAATAATAAAAAAAAACCTTAGTAATTTCTTAAATAAACTCATCATAATCTTATTTACACAAAATCCAATCGTCAATTTAATCTATATTTAAAATAATAGGCATTCTATGGTGTATATCTTCATATTTTTTACTCGAATTTTATGTCATAATCATCACTTTTTCATTCTAAAATAAAGCCGCTATAAATATATGATCTTAACATTCACTTTTAAACACGAAAGGCTATTTATCAGTATTCCACTCGTAATACCCTTCCGCAATAATTACACATCTATTCCTATTTATTATATTTTTAAATGTAGGCTTATGGGATGCTTCTTCACTTCTAATATTTATTATTGTTGTAAATGATGTTACCAAACCCCATTCTAGAAAATCTAATATCTTTTCGGGTTCGCTTTTTTCTTCTTCTTTTATTGTTCGGATACATGGAAGATATAAAGTTGGAGAAACATTAAAACCTGGCTTATATTTTTACTCATTTCGGGTTTTTTAGCATTTACATATTTACTATAAACGAGTTAGTTTTAGGTTTTGATATAGTCTTCCGCACATGTTAATTTTATTATTGGTTTAAAATTTATAATTTTTGATTTTTTTATGATTTTTGTTTTGTTTTTTTAAATAAAATAAAAATATTTTTTTTTAATTGTTTATTTTATTTTATTTTCAAATGAAAAAATTATAAACAAAAAAATAAAATTTGAAAAAAAAAAAAAAAAAAATGAAAAAGTCTCCTGTATAAAGATATATGAAATAATAAATGAGTCTATCGTAATATTTAGAAAACAAAAATATTCCAAAATTAATATAAGTTAAACGTATTACAGCTGATTAACCAAGTTCAGTTCATTTATTATAGTAAAAAATAAGTCCTTAATATTAATTTTATCAAACAAAGTAAGAAAGAACGTTATTACAATAAAATAATAATAATAATAATATATAAAAAATCTAAAAAAACAATACCTTTAAAACTCCGACAAGAAACACTAAAAATTGCTTTGGAGTAAATTATGATTCATCAAAAAATGAAGGAATACATAATATTAATACAGAATAAGTAAATAATAATATGAATTAACTATTATAAAGAGTAAATAATCTAGAGAATTAAATAGGATAAGAAAATAAGTATTTTTCAAACCATTATTTACATTCACCTAAAAATGACGAAAAACAATTAAAAAATAATTCAAATAGTTTTATTTTAAATACAAAAACAATTAATAAAGATGAATAAAAAAATTAATACCAAAAATTAGAAAATTAAGTATAATTATAAAACTAAAAAATATATATAAAAAAAAAAAAAATATTAAAAAGATTTAAAATTTAAAATATGATAAAAATTAAAAAGATTAGAATTTAAAAGAATTAAAAACTGAAATTTATACATTATAATAATAAATAGATGAAAAAAAAAAATTTTCTAAAAATTTTAATCCTCCAAATACAGAAAGATATACAAGTAATAGTCAAAATCAACAAATATTAGAATTATAAAAAGAAAATAGAGATTTAAATATAATGAATAATTAATTATAAAATGAATTAAATATAAAAATATACGAAATATAATAAAAATAAAACGAATATAAACAAAAAAAAACGAAAACAATAAACTAAATGAAGTAATAATAGAGCATGAAAAAAAAATCGTTATACTTTAAAAAAAGAATAAAGAATTAGAACAAAATTGTTTTATATTTGCCTAAGAATTGGAGAAAATGACACTTATAAAAAGTTAAAATAATATTTCAAATGAAAAAATCCAAAAAAATTTACAAAATGCAAATAATAGGATTAATTTTTTACAAATTGAAAATGAAAAATTAAACAAAATACAAGAAGAAATAATTAAAAATGCTTAAAATGAATAAAATTAAGAAATATAAAAATTAAATGGAAATTTATAAAAAAATAATATGGCCTTAGAAGTTTAAAAAGAAAAATTTAAAAACTCGAAAATTAAAATGAAGAACTTATTTAATAAAATAAAGATTTATTAATGTAAATAAATACAAAAATAAATGAAAACTAGATATTAGATTAAAATATTTAAAAACTTAATAATAATATAAGAGAATTTTAAATTAAAATTGATGAATTAAATATATAAATTTAATAAAATGAGAAATTGGAACATCTTAATTTATAAATAAAATAATTAAATAATAGTAATCAAGTATTTATTTAAATATATATTTATATTTATATATAATAAAATTAATAATAATAAAAGTAATTGTTAGAAGATAATACAAAATTAGCATTTTAATTAGATTCACTTTTAAATGATGATAATTTCAAATAATTCGATTAAAGACATTATTTAGAACAAATTTAATAATTAAATATTGAAGTATAGTAATGGAAAGAAATATATATTAAATCATAAGAAGAAAACTTTGAAAAAAATAAAAATAATAATAAAGATAAGTTTATAGAAGAAACTATCATTAATTTAGAAAATAAAATAAAATCATTTGAAAAATAAAATAATGAATTAAATATTCTTATTTAAGAAAAATAATCCATAATATTTTAATTGTAATAAGAAAATTCCAAAATTCATTAATTAAGTGCTGAAAGAATAAATTTAATTGAAACTTGGAAGGTTACTAAATAATAATAAATAAATATATATATATATATATATATATATATATATATATATATATATATATATTTATATATATTTTTATTATCAATTTTCTATATATTTTATCTTTATTTAATTTTTTTATAAATAGTATTTATTTTATTATTTTCTTAAATTATATTTAAAATTTAATAAAAAAAGAAATAATTTTTAGATAGTCCTCAAGATGAAAATAAAAATTAATAAATTATATAAGAAAATAATATTGTTTAATAATATAATTAAGCAAAACTATAAATACAATAATTTGAAGAAGCTATTTTAAAAGAATAAACTGAAAAAAAATCTTTTTAATATAGATTAAATTTATGTCATTAAGAGTTTTTAATAAAAGAATAAGAAAATTAATAATTATATTAATTACTTTAATAAAGAAAATAAGATTATGAATAATAAAAAGTATTATTGACAGAAATAAAAATGCAGAATAATAGTTTAACTTAAAAAATTAAAAAAATAGAACATGATGGTCTTATTAAAATAGAATATTATGATTGTATGTAGATATAGAATTAAGAGTTGTATGTATTTTTATTTTCACTTTAAAAAAAAATATATTATCATCTTTTTTTCATTAAGAAAAAGATAAATTGATTCTTACAAATTATAAATTAAATCTTTAGAAGAAAAATTCAGTGAAAATAAGCTATAATAAGATAATAAAAGTGACGATGCTATTAGTAAAAAATAGGATAAGCCTTATTCTAATTATTAAAGTCCAATTTAAGTAGGGGTTTAGTAATAATAATAGTGTTTTTAGTCTCCAAATATCTTAAATAATTATTATTCTAATTAGGTTATTTTTTTAAATAAAAAAAATAAGAAGTAAATATTTTAAATTTTTATATCAAAATAGATATGATTAAATTGGTTTTACTTAAAATTGTAATATAAATTAAAAGATTTGATTTTTTTTTTTTTTCTATTTATAAAAAATAAACTAAATTATTATTAATAAAATACTAATTAATTTAATATTTATTTATTATTATGATATATATAAATATATATATATATAATATAAAAAAACTATTAGTTTATAATTAAAAATTTAATAAAATAATATTGTTTCTTTTTAAAAAAAACAAAAATATTATATATTTTGTTGTTGATTTTAATTCTAAAAAAATAAAAATATAAAACAAAAATAAAACAAAAAAAAGAAAGAAAATTATTAATGTATATAAAAATAGCATTATACATATTATTATTAAAAATATTAATTTGTTAATAAAACCTAAAAAAGTTTCGAATTTGTTGTCGTTAATTTTCCTTTACTAAACAAAAATAAGTTTATAGTGAACAAAATTAAATAATTGAATAAGATTTATAAATTTTCTATTAATGTATATAAAAAAATCAGAAATGTTATAATTAAATATATGAATAAGGATAATTAATAGAAAATTTCAATTATAATAAATGTTTTAAAAAATGCTATAATTTAAATAATTATAAAAGTGAATTTTTAAAAAAACTTGTAAATAAAACACTAGAATGTTAAAAGAAATATTTAAAAAACGATTTTTAATAAAAAATAAATAATAAAAATATAAGAATGCCTTGGGAAATACTAATAATAATAGTTTTATTTGCTTTATTTATGATTAATGTATTTAAATAAAAACTAAAAAAATAAAAAGCCAATTTATAAGACATACATAATTTTGATTTTTAATTATTTAAATAATAATAAAATGTCATAAATAATGATTAAAAATAATTAATAGAATAAAATATATAAATACATCGAAATAATTTAAATTACGATATTAATTAAAATATTTTTAATACTAACGATTATGAATAAGACTACGAAGAAGATATTTCAAAAAACACTGAAAATGATAAATTATTATGAAATATAATAAAATACTTAAAATTTAATTTTTATAAATAAAATATATAAAAAATTATAAACCAAATATAATTTAATTCATTCATTTATTTAACTCATCTTTAATCAATATGAAAATTTCATCTAATTTTTCCATTTTTAAATGTCTATTATGGACAGTAGTTCTCGCAAAAAGTACTTCAATATCTTCTTCTTTATATATTCTATACTTAACAATAAGAAAAACTAGCTTTTATTTAATAATATCATAATCTTCCTGCAAATTTCCTTTAACTTTCGGGATTTCATCTCCAAAATCGTCATCAAAAAGATATGACCCATGATTTTTTTTCAAAAACTCTTTCTTATATATGTCATATTCCTCTTTTGTAATAATTTAAGCCTTTTAATTATGGATAAAAGGATCTTTTTTAATTATTTAATGTTTATTATTTTATACTAAAAATTCATTATTTTCTTCTTTTTTAATTTATTTTTCTGTTTATATTTTCTTCTCGTTTACAGTTTTACATCTTTTTTACGGCTTCAGTATTTATTTTAGGAGATAATTATTTGTTTTTTTTAACTCATTTTCATCATTTTTAAATAAATAAGTGGGATGTGCCAAAGGATCATTAGGGTTTTTTTTCCTTTCTTAAATAGTTCCCATATTTTTAATATGCCTAATTTACGAATCTATATTTTTCTAATGTTCTTTCATTAAAAATTTCTAACTACGAGGCTTATTTCCCCATAAATATGTTAAATTTAATGTCTAAGGCTCCTTAGAGTCAATTAGACCTTTTTTAGTATTTTAAACAGCATTAAATGTGTTAAATACATTCCCATATTCTAATAATTTTTTGTATTTGGGCTTATCTTTGTGCAATTTTTTCGCATCTACATGCGGACGAGGACCTTTTCGAATATCTATGGTAGGTTTTATTGTAAGTAATGCGGTTTAATGATTGAACATCCGGTTCATTAGTTGTTCTCGTCCGCCTATGTTGGATGGGTCAATTATGTCTAATGGTCCTAATGGATTCATTTTATTTTTTTATTTAAATTTTTTTATTAATTTAATATTTTAAGTTTTTTTTTTAGTATTAATTATATATAAAAAAAAAAAAAAAAATTTTTTTTTTTTTATGATAATCGAAATATTGTAACTTTTATATATTTTTTTATTTAGTGGAGATTTCTTCAAATTTTTTATTGAAAAACTCAAAAAAAAGAGCATATGGATTTAATTTTATATATAAAATTCTGAAAAATTAATATTAATTATTAAATTTTAAATTAGAGTTAATTATTTTTATTATAAAACTTAAATTTAATTATTTTTGTATTGGTAATAGAAATATAAATAATTAAAAGAAATATTTCATTGATTCTATATATTTATAAATATTATTTTTTTATAAATGACATGATTATATAAATAAACTATATATTTTATTATTTACATTTACTTAAATAATATTTTTCTTTAATTTTTTAGCTTTTTTATATAAGGATTAAAAATAATATAACATTAATTTATATCATAATAAATTATTTTTCATCTAAAATAAATTTTATAATTAAAAGAAATTAATTTATTTTAATTTTTTTTAAAACAAAAAATTAATTATATAATTGAAAATAATTTTAGGTCTAATTATTTATTAATTATAATGTTTTTATAATTAAAAAAATGCATTATACAAATTTAAATGCATTAATTATAGATAATAAATACCACATTCTTATTTTCAAAAATAATAATTTTATGATATATTCAAGTACTATTTACTAGAGTAATAATAATTAAGTATATTTAGTTTTGATTATGCTTTTAATAAAATATTTAATTCTAAATAAAAATAAAGCAACTTTTTAAATATTATGATCATATAAGTTATTTACTTTAGGAATATTAACATTTAAAATTTTAATATATTCTTATTTACTATTTAAATAAAATTTAATATTTAACATAAAAGATTGAATTAAGAATATCAAAAAAAAAAAAATATTTTATAATATTTAAGGAAAATTTAATTTAAAATTATATATAAAATATAAAGGCCTTTTTTATACAAATTTTTTATAGTAAATATTTATATAATATTATTCGAAATAAAAAAAAGTTTTGAAAAGAATTATAATATATAAATCCTATTTATTAAATATTATTTATAAAAAACATTTTAGAATATTAGTTAAATATAAAATCTGTATAAATATTAAAAAATAATTTAATATTATAGTAAATGTTATATATTAAATATTAATATAATATTATTATTATATCTATATGAAAGTGTTTATATATTAATACTGTACATAATAATTTTTAAAATATAAATCTTTATTATTTAAACTATTTTATATTATGATTAGTTTTAAATATAATTTTTTTTTATATTATTTTTATAAATAATATATTATTATATTAAAATTTGTATAATTATAAAATATTAAATATTTACTTATTGTTTCATTAATACATTAGTAATAATATTTTATTATATTTTATAATTGATAATATTTTAAAATTTAATTTTATATGAATTAATTATAATTTTTTAAAATATTTAAAAAAAGAAAGTAATATAAAATAATAAATATTTTTATATTAAATATAATAAAAAAATTCTATTATAATATATTTAATATAATTTTTTAAAAAATAAATTCTATATATAATATTTTTAAAGTTTTAATATAAAAAAGCAAACAAATATTATTGCAATAAAAAAAATATATATATATATATATAAATGAGTAAATATTTAAAAAGAATAGGAACAAAATAAATATAATTTTAATTTGAAATTGAAATAAAATAACTAAACATAAATTTAGCCTTATAATGTAATGCAAAAATTATATGGAAAACAAGTAAAAAAATAAATATTAAAGACTGCTTTATTTAACAAATTAATAAAAAGGAAAACATTCGATATAAACAATAGGAAAAATATAAATAAACTAATATAATAACTTAGTAATAATTGATGAAAAATTAACATTATCAGCAACTTTATATTTTGATTAAAAGACAAACATCTACTAAGAGAAAATCGTAAAATAATATATAAAAAACAATATGAATAAATAATATATATATTTTATCTTTTTAAAAAGACAGAAATATCGATAATATTAGAAACTAAAAAAGGTGAAAAAATTGGGGGAAAAGCAAATTTAAATATAGCTGAAATAGTAAATAAAGGCTTATAAAGTAAAAATAATTATAAAATATATAAAAAAAAAAATAGGTTAAAATTATATATTAGAATTATAAAAATGCCTTGATAATAAGGCTACATTAGAATTAATTTTAAAAAATAAAAAACTCGAAGAAAATGCAAATTATTCAAGCGAAAGTGAATAAGAAAACTCTTTCAGATCCTAAAAGTTAATATTCTTAAATAATAATTTAGCAAACTAAAAGGAGGTAAAAAGAAGTTTATCATATACATGTGAAATTGATGAAAATTAAAAGAAAGAAGAAAATAATAAATCAAGAACAATAAAATTAGGATATGATGATGAAGAATTTTTCAAAAAATTAAAATAAAAAGAGCAAGAATAAGAAGAATTAAAAATAATTTAATAATAAAAATAATAAGAATTAAAAAAATATAATAAAAATAAATAGAGGAATAATAATAAATTTAAATAATAGAAGTACAATAAAAGAAGCAGCTTCTTTAAGAAAAAAAAAAGAATTTTTTAGCCAAAAATTAATTTTAAATTAAAATAATTCAAATAGAAATTCAAAAAATAATATTTTTTATAATAAAGATTTAAATAAAGAAAATGAAGAAAAAAATGAAGAAAGCTATTTGGAAGATAAAAAATATTATTTTGAAAAAATGAAGAAATCTATTAGTATTGAAAATAATATAAAAGAAAATTATATATAAATAGAGGAAAATAAAAAAATAAATTAAGAAAATTAATAAATATAAAAAAAAAAACCTGTTTTTTAAAAATAAGAAAAATAAAAAAACTATGAAGAAAATTATGATTTTTGTAAAATATAAGAATAATTCTCAATATAAAATTAATTCTAAACACCTTTATTATCTTAATTAGATAATATAAATTTGATAAAAAAATAAGATTCACCATTGAAATAATAATAATAATAATAATAATAATAATAATAATAATAATAATAATAATAACAATAACAATAACAATAACAATAACAATAAAGTTTCTAAAAATCTTAATTACCAATAAATGATGATTTTTTTTTTAATTAATAATAAAAATAAAAAGATAATTTACAATAAACATAAAAAGCCAGAAAACCTATTTTTGAAAAAAATAAATTAATAAATAATTAAAATATATCTTTTACTACTTAATAATCTATTTAAGACTATTCCCCTGTTTAAAATAGTGATAAAAAAAAAGCACATACTGCAATATTTTAAAATAGTAATAGATAAAACTCATATTCAAATTTAGCTATAATAAATTAATAGATAAATAATACAAGTTAGAATTAAATTAATTAAACAAAAGATATAAATTGTTAATAATAATAATAATAATAATAATAATCTATAATAAATTAATAATTATTTATAAAATAATTAATATTAATAAAGTAATAATTAATAATAATAATAATAGTTTTAATATAATATTTTATAATAATAAAATAATTGTTCTTTATAATCTAATTAATAATTTGAAATAATAAAAGTTAATAATTAATTTGAAAATGATGATAAAATTTAAAATAATATTCCTACAAAAAATATTTTATAATAAAATTTTTCTACTTAGGCTTTTTAAAAAGGCGATTAATTATTAGAAATTGAATTATTGTCAAAAAAAAATGAATTATAAATAGCTTAATAAACAATTTTGGATTTATAAAATAATATAAATTATTTATAATAAAATTAATATAATCAAATTTAATTAGATCATGAAAATAAAAGATTGCAAATTAAAATTGATTAGTTGAATAATTAAATATCTTAACTATAATAAGAATCTATGACTACACATTAAGCATAAAGTCAAATGCAAAAAATTACAATATAAGATGTAAAAAAAATAAAAGCAATTGAATATTTTTATTAATTTATTTAAAAAAGTTATAAATTTAAATAAATTCATTAAAGGAATAATTATAATTTGAGCAAAAAATAATTTCAGAAAATAATCGAATAATTTCTTAATAAAAAGTAAATTCAATTTAAAAATATATATTTAAATAAAATAAAATAAAATAAAATATACAGTTTGAAGTTGAATAAAAAAATGAATAAATAAAAAAACTAAACCAATAAATAGAAATATAAAATTAATAATTTGAATAAACATAAATAAACAGTTAAAATGCAAAATAATAAATATAAGAATTATAAAACTAATTAGAAGTTTAAAAAGTTACAATTTTAAAATAAGAAAGAATCTAATTTGAGATATTCTAATAAAATTAATAAATAATAATAAGTGAAAAAGATAACTAAATTAATTTCTTATAATAATAATTATAATAGTAATAAGACAATAAAATATAAGAATAACAATAATATGAATAGAATATGCAAAAAGAAAAAATAATAGAAGAAAATAAATAAAAACACTAAAATGAATTAAAAGAAATTATTTAAAAATATGAAAATGTAAAATCTAATTTAGAAAATGACATCGAAATTATTTAATTTAATAATGATAAGTTAAATTAATAATTGATGTAATATTAAAGTGAAAACTTAGGCTTAAAAAATAAACTTGATAATCTCGAAAATCAACATAATTAATTAAAAGAAGCATAAGATAAATACCATAATGCAATAATTACATAATAGAAGGATTTAGAAGAATATTCTTAATAAAATAATATGTTAAAATATGAAAAAAATAAAGTTTAAGATTAATAAAAATAAGAAATTATTTAACTAAAAAGTTTAATTATATAAAAAGAAGAAGAAATAGATAATCTATTATCAGAAATTAAAAATTTGAATTCTTAATTAGAAATCTAAAAGGAAATTTGGGAATAAACAAAAGAAGAAAATTAATAATAGATTTAAGAAGAATTTAAAAATTTAGTAAAAGAAAATGAAAACTTAAAACTAAAAGTTAATACTTTTGATTAATTATTATAAAAGGAAGCTTGTTTTAATTACAAAACGAAAAAGATTTGTTAAGAGAAAATCAAGATTTAAATGGACAAATCGAATTTTTATAAGATTAACTAAGTAATACCAAATAAAATTATTAAAGATAACTTAAATAAATGGCTACTCTCATTGTTAATAAAGATAAGGAAATTTAAAATAGAGAAGCTTAAATAGAAGAGAAAAATATTCTTTTGAAAGATTTAGAAAGTTAATAAAATATCCTAAAAAATTCATTAAATAATGAAGATTATTAAAAATTATAAAATAAATACTAAGAATTAAAAAATAAAAATTAATAAATTGTAAATATTTTAAAATTATTAATAAAAAAAATTATATATAAAGATTGAAGAATATGAAGAAGAAATGGACGAATTTAAAGTAGAAATTTAAGATTTAAAATAATAGTTAAAAAACAATAAAAATAATGAAAATGAAGACAATGAAATAGCAAAAATTTCAGTAGAAAATGAATATTTATAAAAGAAAGTTAAAGATTTACAAAAATAAATATAAAATTAATCAAATTAATAGAAAAATACAGATATTTAAGCTATCTAAAATGAATTAATTTCAATAAAAATATAAAAATAAACACGAGAAAAAAACCTTGTATAAAATAATAGGTTAATAAAAGATTTAGAAAACAATCTAAAAATAAAAGAAAATGATATGAAATTAATGGAAAAAGATTTATTTAAATGCAAACAAAAACTAGAAAGAGCAATAAAAGCATGTATAGAATTAGGTGGAATAGAGTTATTAGAAAAAATAACAATTTATTGAATTTAAATATAAATATTATTTTTTTAAAAAAAAATTACATATAAAAAAGTAAAATATTTATAACTACTTTTTTATACTAAAATATAATAAAAATAATAATATATATGATATTATAATTTATCATTTTAATAATTTTTAAACTTGCCATTATATAACACATTAATCTTCACCTCCAGTACTATAAAGATAAGTGTCATCTCCATTCCATTTAACATTTGTAACATGGGAACTATGTCCAATTCCTACAACTCCCTTCGAGCTCTTTTTAAGTGATGGGAATCTAAGAATTCTCACTTAAGAAAGTCATCAGCTGATGCTAATAAATAATATGAATTTGTAATATCTTTATTTCCTTTTATTGTAAGATTAGACCTATCTACAGCATTAATATCAGTACCATCTGCACATTCAGGCCATATGCCTTAAACCTATATATAAATGTATTTTATAAATATAACAAAAAATAAAAAAAATACAGGCCATCCTAAAGTAGCAGTCCAAGTAGCCCACATTTCATCTTTTAAATGTGAAGCTCCGGAAGTCAATTATTTGCCTATATTAACGTCCCAAAATAATAATTCATAAGCCTAACAAGTAGAATGGATATAATTTCCATCTCTTGAAAAATCAATATGTGTAATTGCAGAGGAGTGCTTTTTCATTGGCCTACATTTAGGTTTTAATTAAGTTAAGCTAAAGTTATAACAATAAATAGAACAATCATGAGCACCTACAACTAATAAAGAGCCATCAGGCGAAAATTTAATATCTGAGATCCATTTCGTGGCTTATTTTACCACATTAGTTTACTTCAATGTCTCACTTTCGAATACTCTTATTGTACCATCTTTATGCCCTACCACAATTGCACTTCCATCTGGACTTATTGCAATCGCTCTTGCTTTTACTGAATCATTATAATCTCCTGTAGCTTTATCTCTAGCAACAATTTCTCCTTATTTATCTTTTTTTGATATTAATAAATTATATTTTTCTTTTTGAGTATTTTTATTAATTACTAAATTAAGTTTAAGTTAATCTCAGTAATTTCCTTTGTGAACAAGACCAAATTCTTAATGTTCCATCATCACTACATGTAGCATATTCATCTGGATTATTTGGGAATACAGCAAGACCCCAAACTTCATTTGTCCACTTTTATGTTACAAAAAAAATTAATTAAAAATAATTTATTTATTTATTTTTACTTTTGCATTTGGACTAAAATGACCTTACATATAACATTTATGGAATGAAAATTTAGTATTTTTAGTTATTTTTTAATCTTTTTTTCTAAGTTCGAATATTTCACAGCCTAAAGTAGCTATGAATATACTTTTTTTATCATCACTTAAACAAATACTTCTTACTTCAGGGCTCTAAGAACCTTAACAAACTTCCTAAATATTAATTTTAACTATCTCTTCAAAATTTTTGCTTAGAATATTTAAAAATCCATCTCTACCTCCTGTAAAAATACTATAAAAAAAATTAAAAAATTAAAAATTAAATATAAAAAAAATTAACTAATCTTAATCTACAACAATAGTTTCACAGGCTTTCGAATGTAATTTTTCTTTGACATTTTTAGTCCAATTTTTTCCATTCCATAACTACAAATCTCCAGTTGCTGCTCCAATAATAATTTAATTATTAACAAATCCAATTCCTGACAAAATATTATTTCCTTTGCCAAACTATCCAGTTTATCCTTTGTAAGTACCTTCTGCTTAATTCCAAAATTTAAAATGCTTAATTCCAATAGTAACAAAAGAAGTGTCGTTTATCCAATCTAAATCCACAATAACTTCCTTTCCTCCTACAAAAGTCATACTTTTTCCCGATTTTAAATCAAATATTCCCACATAATGATCATCATCGATTGCTGCTCCTAAAAGTTTACTAGAATCCGCATTAAAAGATAAACACGCAACTCCTTTTTTCAAAATGCCTTTCCATTCATATTTTTTCTCACAAGTATCAGAATCCCATACATAAATGTATGGTTTTGGTCCTATTTCTCCTGTTGCTACTAATGTTCCGTCATTATTTAAATCTAAAGATATAATATCATCTGTATGTAAATTGAAAAATTGCTATGTATTAGTTTACATATCTAATACAATACCCAAAGCAGCTGCATTATATACTAATTTTCCTGATTTAGTAAATCTTAAATTTCCTCTTTAATCTTTTGTTCGAATTCCATAACAATATTAAGGTTTTATTGAAACAGGAGGAGCTTCTGCTTATTTAGAGTCTTTAAAATATTTATATGTAGGTTCTTTTATGGCACCTAACCAAGCTATTTTTAAATAAATATTTTTTAAATAAATAAATATTTAATATTTTACGTTTAACTGCCATAAATTAATCTCCATTATCTGCTGATTCTTCTTCAAAAAGATCATCATTATTCACTTGTTTTTAAATAACAGCTTTATTTTTCGCATATTTTTTTTTTGGAATATCTATTTCATCTGTCAAATCAATATCATCATCTTAAATTTCTTAAATCTAATCTACTGATTTTCCCAATCCTGCTCCAAAAGTAGTTTTCCAAATCATAGTACATTTGTCATTACCACCAACTGAAATCAAAAAATTATCATCAAAAGTAAATCTAACCTTAGTAATATGTGAAGAATGTCCCAAATATTCTTTATGTACCTACTTAGGTACCACAACTGGATATTTAAACAATTTTATTTTACTATCATCATTTCCTGAAGCTAAAAACTAAACAAATATATATATGTATATATATATATATGTATATGTGTATATATAAATATTTACTTTTTGTGATCCACTTCTAACAACTGAATTAACATCCGTATAATCAACTCCTTAGAAAACCCCTTATACAGGAAAACCCAATTTAGAAGTCCAAGTAGCCCACTCAATATCTTTCGCAGAAGAAGAAGCTATATTTTTCTTTGCAGAAACACCAACAAATTTAAGTTCATAAGCTTGCGAATTTACCACAATATTATTTGAATCTTTCGACCAATCTAAATGTAACAATGCCGAAGTCAGACCACATTTAATCTAAAATCCTTTTGTAAAGGCCTACCCTGCAGAGATTCCTACGATTTCCAAATTCGAAGCTCCTGCATGGGCACCAAAAGCCGCCCATTTTCCACAAGGAGAAACTTTAATGTCTTCAATCCATGGTGTAGCTTGCCTATTTGTAATTTTCGTAAACTCTGAATTATGTTTTGCCAAAATATCTAAATTTTACACATTTAATAAATAAATAACTCCTGTAACATCCGCTGCTACAATAAATTCCTTTCCATCTTAAATTCCCCAATCTACTGCTCTTACATCTTTATTTAAAGGCTTTGTTGAAACCACCATTTTATTTTTATTAATATCCCAAAGTCTAATAGTTTTATCTCCTCCTGATGTAACAATCATATCTTTATTTGGAGAAGTTGCTAAACCCCAAAGTTCGCCATCAAAATGTCCTTAAAGTAGCAAATTGCATTTATTGTTTGAAAATTCAATTATTTATCCGCCTACAGTACCCAAAAGTACATTTTTTGTGTTATTTTACAAATCTAAAGATACGACTCCGCTTGGAAATTCTAATTATTATATACTTGTTTGACCTGATAAATCAACTAATAATCCTTCTGGTTTAGCGTTTCCTCCTTAGATTATCCATTTTAATATTTTACCATCCAATCCTCCACTATAAAGAGTTTTACACTTACTATCATACCCAAAAGTTTGTACAGTCTTATCATGTTTTGCTCCTTTCAAAGCAGTTCCTGCACTTCCGCTCCATTAATAAACGTTTCCATCAGCTCCTCCTGTAAAGCATATATTTTCTGCATAAATAGAACTATATTAGGACACAAACTTTTAACTTGAAGTAACTTTCCCTATTACACTTTTCGCATTTCTGCCACTTAAAGTCCAAAATTTAACATGTTTAAATCCTGTAGTTACAAATTCAGTCTCATTTTTCCATGCAGCACTTGTTACTTTTGCTTTATCTACCTAACTAGTAGTTACTAAACGTTTAGCTTACCAATCATAAATTGCAAGCGAATTATCATCATCTTAACCTACAGATAATAATAATTAACCATTAGGACTAAATTTTAATAAAACAACGGCCCTTCTATGAAAATCATTAAAATTAGCTTTTATTTCCTTTAATTTATATTAAATTATAATATTATATTATATTTTATTATAATAATATAATAAAATAAAATAAAATAAAATAAAATTAAAATTAAAATCAATATTATATAAAATAAAATATATTAATTTACATTAGTTTCAACATCCCAAACAAAAATATCTATACATTTGGCTTTTCCTTTAGCAGCCATTTATCCTGTAGCAGCAATAGTCCTTTATGGGTGAAGATCGAAAGAAACAATATCTTCAATATGTTTAATGAAAAACTTTTATTTTCCTCCAATTTTTTTTCCTAAATAACTCCAACAGCAGCTGCAGGGAAAATAATTTAATTGAAATCATCTGAATATTTTACCATATCTCTACAATTATCTTGAATGTAAAAAAATCTATATCCATGACAATAAGTTAAAGATATATCTCCATCAGGTAATTAGTTATCTCTTTTATTATTAGGTTTATACCAACTTGGAATACTATGTAAAAGTTCTCCCAAAAAAGGTTTAACAGCCCCAATTTAATCACCTTCTTCTTTTTCTTCTTCCCCAAAAATATCACCTTCTTATTAACCAGGCTCCATTAAAGCATATCCTTAAGGTTTTGAATATTAATTTTCTTCTTCATCTGGTTCATCTTAACCTTTTATATATTTCCATTAAAACACAGACTTTTCTTCTCCCCCAACTGAAATGATATAAGAAGAATCTTTTAAAAATCGTACATTAGTAACATGAGAACTATGTCCAGTAAATTTAATATAAGACTATTCTTATTATCTACTTGTCTTTCCTTCCTATACCATCAAAGGATGAACTGGATATTTAAATAATTTCACTTTACTAAAATCATCTGAAGTTACCAAAACTAAAAAAAAAAAAAATAAAAATATGTATATATATATATATATATATATATATATATATATATATATATTTATATTTATATATACCGTCTCCTGAAGGTGATCTTTCGACAGCATTAATATCATCTCCACCAGTACATGGAGGCCATATTCCTTTTGTACAAAATCCTCTTGGAATCGTCCATGAAGCCCATTTTTCATCTTTAAACAATTAAAATCCATTATTAATAGCTTCCCCGTTTTCGGCACTATAATACAAAAGATTATTAACTCCATTACATTAGATAGTTTTTCCATCTTCAGAAAAGTCCATATGATTAATTCTACATTAAATCTTAAATTCTAAAATTTTTTTGAATCCATTTTAAGAATCGAAAACAACCATATAATTAATTGGATTAGCATATGAGACAAAAAGCTTTCTTGAACTTGGTGAAAACTTCATAATAGAAATCAAGTCTTTATCCGGATTAATATATTCTTTTATTTCATTAATTATTTAAAGACTATCGGGATTGAGGATACATAAATATCCATTTTTGCACCCAGCAGCTAAATAATTTCCATCCGATGAAATCGCTAATACTTTACAAGAATAACTAAGTTTCAATTTTTTAATCATTTTTCTTTATTTTACATCAAATTTATACAAAATCTTATCTTCTCCACTAGTATAATAAAAACTGGAATTTGGATGAGTCGCCAAACCCCAAACTTCATCATCCCAATGCCCTTAATTAATAATTTTGTGTTTTTTAAAGTCTCCTTTGAGTACTTCAATGATTTCCCCTCCCCTCATTCCTACCAATAAATCTCCATTTTTATTTTCATTCAAGGCAATAATCGGCTTATAATTTAAATCTTTCACAAAATCTTCTATTTCAATTACTTTAGATTGCGTATAATCGCCATTCCAGATAATTATAACCCCATTTCTTCCTCCAGAAATGAAACCATTTTAATTATTTCTTGGACAAATGCAATTAGTAGGCCCATAATGTCCTTTTAAAACTTCTGAAATTTTTTATTCTTTCCAAACACAAATGTTTCCATTAAACATCCCTGTAACAACATCATTTTAATTGAAAGTAACACACAAAACTGCTTAAGGCTATTATATACCCCAAACCCCTTTTGTACACTTAATACTATTTCCCGAAAAAGTTATAAAATTAACTTCTTTCATACATGTTGCAATTATCATTTTTTCAACAGGATGAAATTATAATTAAAATATGAAAGCTTTTGTTGTTTTTCCACAAGCAACCATACCATCATCATTACTTTTTGGATTTTTTTATTTTATATATGTAAATCTATATCATATATAACTAATGTATTATCATCATCTAATGAATTTCCTACAGCATATTTTCCATCTGGAGAAATGCAACAACATCCGATTCCGACTTATAAAACGCCTTTAAAAATTGCTAAAGTGGACATATCCTATGAATTCCATACACATAATAACGGATGAGCACCTATTTATCCTGTTATTACTCTTCTTAAGTCTTTAGAAATATCCAAACATGTTATATCATCATTATGCTATTCGAAGAAATATTATTTATTTTCATTTTAATCTAATTTTATTCCTATGCCTGCTGTATGATATATTACATTATTATTATATGCGTACTTCAAGTTATTTCTAGTATCATGGCATCTATATCCATGTATATATTCCAAATCTAAATTTACTTTAGGAGCTTCTAATCTTTTTTGATTATTAGAATTAAACCAAGAAGGAAAATAATTAAAAGATTATTTCCATTACTCATCATCTATGTATGTATCATAATAAATAATAAATAAATATATAATAATAATAATAATAATATAAATTATGAAAAAATAAAAAAATATATTTATAAATAAAAATATAAAAAATAATAATAATAAATGATAATAAACATTATATAATATTAATAAATAGTAATTAATTAAATAAGTAATAATAATAATATATATATAATAAACCTGTATTTGTAATTTTTTATTATATTAAATCTTTTTCAAAATCATCTTCAAGTCCATCAGGTTTTTCATTATGTTCGATTCCATTTTTAATTTTTTCTATTCTTTCATCTCTGTCCATATTTTTCTTATCAATTTCTTCTTCTATATCACTATTGCAATCTTCATATTGATTATCCTCATATCCCATTTCAAACTTAGTAACAAAACCCATATTATACATATATTGCAAAATATCAGGATCTCTTCTTAACATTGCCTCCCATTCATCCATATTTAATTAATTGTCCTTATCAATATCCCATTTTAACAATAATTATTTTGTTTTTGTTTCTACTTGTTTGTTTGTGGGTTCCTCTTCATCATTTATAAAAGCCATATATCTCATAAAATGTTCGACGAATAAAGAGAGTTCTTCAAAAACTACATTATCAGCTTGTCTATAATTAAATATATTATATAAAATATTTGCTTTTTCTGTCAAGTTATTCTAGCATAAAAGAGCTGCTCCACAGCAAAATTTATAAAAATCGGCATTTTATGAACCATCTAAATCTAGAAACATTATAAGCTTATTTTCATAAAAAAAAAACATAAATAAATAATAATTATTTCTCATTTTTAATAGTTTACCTTTTATGCTTAACTTATACTGCATTTGTATATAATAGCTAAGTTTTCTTTACAAAGATATCCATTATCATCACATAATAATTAAAATTTATCTCTAATTATATATTATTTTAAAATAATGCATTTTTTAATATATTTTATTTTGTAATTTTAATATAATTATATATTTTTTTTTATTTTTAATAGTATTATTTTTATTTATTTATTAATAACTTTATATAATTTAATTAATCTTAATTAAATCCTTTATAACGCGATTTTCTGAAATCTCCAAGAATTTTGTTGCCCATTTTTGATTAAATCTTTTATTTTATTTTTTAAAGTTTTTTTTTTCTTCCTTTTTTTATATTTATAATATTTAAAATAAGTTATAGATTTTTTAAAAATAAAATAAAATAAAATTATATATAAAACACATAGATAATATAATTTAATATAGAAATATTACTAAAAGCATTAAATAAAAGAAATAAAAAATATAATCGAAAAAAATAAAAATAGGGCATATATAATTTTAATAATTAAAAAAATAATTATAAATAATGAATATATTTGCATTTATTAGAATTATAAAAAAGTTAAACAAAAAAAATAATTTTAATAAAAAAAAAATATACGTATATATTAAAATTTAATAATAAACAAACAAAAAATAATAAATAAACAATAATATATATAAAAATGGGATGTGGTTTTGCATAAAAACAAATTAAAACCCCTGAACATTAAATATAAGTTCAAAAATTAGAAAACAGTAAATCAAAATCATTAGCATAATTAAAATTAGAATGGACGATGTACGTAGTTTAGCATGTAACATCGATTAAATTTCACAACGAAATAATCCAGAACTAAATAAACATAAGAAATTATTTGTAAAAAGAGCTAGGATAAGATATGAAAAGTGATATATTATAAGCATGTGAAATGATAATAAAGCGTTTTTAAGAAGAATATAAAAAAATGAAGATAAATGAAGAACATATACAATATGTAGTAACAACCATTTAAATTCTACAATTATGTAAAAAATACTCTACAATTTTAAGAAAATAAAAAAACTTATATACTGATTAATTTGTTAAGTTACCGTTATTACTTCTTTTTTATCTTACTGAATTATTTCATATATTCGTTTCTTTATATAAAATGTATGATGATAAAGAAACATTTGTTTGGTTTAAATACTAAAAGGAACATTTATCATTTTAATCCTTACTGGAAGAAGACATAGATGAATTTATATAAAATAAAGGAAATAAAAAAAAAAAGAAAAACGAAAACTTTGATAAATAAGTTCCCTATATATAAATGTATTTTGAAAATATATTCATTTTATTAAAAAATTAAATGGAATCATGTTTAAAAGCTATTCTTCCTAATTATATTGAAAAACAAAACGAATAAAAAAATTATAAATAACCTTAAAGCAATGGTGTTGACATTTTCGAACAACTATAATAAAATATGTATTATGATATTCTTTCTGGATCTATAAAATCTAAAGATCATTCCAGAATTTATTAATTAGACCAATAATATATAGATGATCTTACTTAAAGTATACACTTATGTGATAATAAAATTAATGCTTTGTTGCCTTGTGCAGCATATGGATATTTGTTTTAAAAAGAAGATTAGCAGAACTTTTAATCTAAGAAAGATTAAGAAGATATATATGTTGAAATATAAATCGAATATACTCAAAATTAATGAATTTAGTAATATATTAAAATTTAATTATTAAATTTATTATTTTATTATTTTTTAATGTTTTACTTATTTAATTCTAGGTTGTTTAATTTATTACTTATTATGATTAATTTAAATTTTATATTTATTATAAATAATTATTTAATAAAACTATTAAAACAAGCATTAAATCAAATATATTTAATAAAATATAAATTAAATTTTAACCATCAATAATAATATCATCTGGAAGAATATATATTAATTACAATTTAAAATACATATTTTTTATTAATTTCTATAAAAAACAATAAATATATATTTTATAATACGAATTTAACTAAAAAATATATTATAATAATAATACAAAATAAATTTATACCGTCATTAAGTTAAAATAAAAAACAATAGTTATTTTATTGTAAAATTTTTAAAAAATAAAAAGTCAATATAAAATAATAAATAATAAAACTCATTACAACGAAACAAAATAAATATAACTGAAGTAGTTTAATAATATTCAAAAAATTATTAATTTTAAAAATTCATAATAATACTGTAATGTAAAAAAGCATTTATATAAGCATTCTGTTTAAATATTTATTTTTGTATATTTTTATTTAATCTTTAATAAAATAAGCTTTTATAATAATATTCTGAAAATGATTTTTCAACATAATTTTAAAAAAGACATTTTTTTGATTTGGTTGTTATATAAAAATCAATGATTTTCTTTATTCAAAAAAATTTTTGTTCTAATATTATATATGAAAAGCCCATCGTATTATATTTCTAATTAAAACTATTTAAAAAAATAAATAAAATACATTTTTTTTTACCTTTGTTTAAGCAAAAAATATTAATTTAGTTATTATTCTAAATTATCATATAATACAGTGTATGCGTATAATTTAATATTTTAATTTATAGTCCTTTTAAATTAAGAAATATAAATTTTTTATAATATATAATAATTTAATAAGGATATTTATTTGAAAGCTTAACTTAAATATATATTAGATTTTTTATATAAATATTTTAAAAGGTAATTTAAATAATTATTCTTTATTTTATAAATTCTATAAATCTTTTTATTATTATTAAATGATACTTAAATTATATTTAACCTTTAAACTCTACTTCTTTTATTATGAGTAAATTACAGTAATTATAGCAAACATAATCTTTACTAATTAATTAAAAAAATATTATTATCCTAAATTATTTCAACTTCTTATTAATCCTTATTATTATTTCAGATTATTATAAATTAGGTAAATTAATTATAGACTCTAAGTAAAAATGCTAAAGTGAAATATCATATTAATTCTAAATATTATTGAATTTTTTATGTTAAATGTCATATTGATAATAATATAATCGTTTTATTATTAATTATTCATAAAAAAACTTATTTTTAGTGCCTTTAATTCATTTTTTTGTTTATTAATATAATTTTTTTATTTAATTAAAATTGTCAATTTTTATTTCAATTTTATTTTTCTAGAAAGGTTTGAATCAAAAATTTATAATTTCTTTTATTTAAATTTTGCTTATATTTGATTAAAATGATTACTAATACAATATTAATATTCAGAATTATGGAAGAATTTTTTTATAATAAATATCTAAAAATATTATATATATATATATATATATATATATATAATCTAAAACTAAATTAAAATAATTATTTTATATTTAATTTATATAAATAATATATTTTATATATAAAGAAAATCTTTTAATTTTATAAAAATAAATATAAATATATTATACTAATTAGATTATATATATATAAAATTTTAAAACATGAATAAAAAAAATATATATATATATAAAAAACATGTATTAAATCTATACAAAAATATATTTATTATAAAAAAATAATAATATAATTTCTTACTTTTATAATTTTTTATTAATAAATAAAAACACAATTGATATATTCAAAAAAATTAATTATTATTTTTATGTTAATAAATATAATTATTATTATTTATATAATTATTTTAAAATTCTTCACAATATTTTTTAAGCAAATTTAAAATACATTATTAGTTATATTAAAAATTGTTTAATTGTTTATATTATATGTACATAGCGTTTAAGATGTTTATTTTTAATTCTATTTCAGTTTTTTTATCAAATTTAAGATTTTATAATTACTTATTTATACTTTATTCGATTTAATCTTCTTGAATATTTTTTTCATCCAGGCAAATATTATAAATATAATTATTAAAATATTTTATTTCAAATTAAATTTGTTTCTATTTATTTTATTATTCTTATAGATTATTTTATTTGTTTGCTATATATTTTTATTTATTTTCAAAATATACAAATCCTTTATTTTGTTATAATTATTATTATTAAGGTATGATGTTATGGTAATAATTTTTATTAAAATTTTTATTATTTTTATATTTATTATTTTATATTTGATCGTTTTTATGTTCATATCCTTAATTATTTCTTTCATTGTATCCTCCTGCTTTTTAATTATTATTACCTTTGTACTCTTATATATTCCCATTTGAATTATCAGAAATATTATCTTTACTTTACTATTAAATTTCAACATATTTAAAATTATTTCGTTTATCTTCTTTTTAGGAATTCATTCCATTATTATTAATGAAACCATTCTTCTTGTATAAATACTTATTGCAAATTTCATTATTGTTACTTTTTTAATCATATTAATCATTTTAATAATTTTAATTATAATTTTAGTTAAAATTGTTATTTCCTTTTTATTAATTATTAACTTCTTCAAATTAATAATCATTTTTTAACCACCTATTACTATCTGCATTATTCTATCTAGAATTTTATTGATTGTTTTTGTATTACTTTCCTGGCATTAAACTTGGTAGATTTTATTATTATAATATTTATTTTAGTAATATTTATTATAAATATTTTTGTTATTATTTTTTTAAATTTATGAAAAAAATAAATATAAAATATTTTAATTAACTTGGATTTAATATATATAAATATATATATATATATATATATATATATATACATATATATATATACATATATATTCTTTTTTCTTATATTTTGTTTTAGATATTATTAATTTTTTTTTTTTCTTAATTTTTATTTTTAAATATTTTATTTGTAGAGTTATGTTTAAAGATTTAAATATATATACTTTTATAAAAATTTTTTCGAATTTTATAATTTAATCTTAATAAATTTATTCTTTTGGATTTCATTTTTTTTTTTTTTAATTTATTTAAAATGTATTAATAGAATTTTTTATATTCATAAAATAGTCTATAAATTAAAAAAATGATTATATGTTCATTTATATAAATTAAATTATTTATATTATTAAATTTTATTAAAATTAAATGTGAAATTAACTAAAAAATAATATTCAATTTATAAAATCTATAATAATTTCTTAAAAAAAAAAAACTTCTATAAATCTTTTCATTATTACTTATCTAAAAATATACTCATATTTTTAAGATGAATTGTTTTTCTTTCATTTTATTAAAGATTTTAATTCTATAAAAATTAATTATCATTCAATATATTATTCCAATAGTTGATAGGATTTTAATAATGATTAATAATCTTAGTTTTATGAACTTTCGATTGTCTTTAATTTATAATAGATTCAGTTATAAAATTAGTTCCAATTAATAAACTTATTTTTTAAGTATTGTTTTTAAATTCTAAAATATTATTTTTGACTTTATATAATAATTCTTAAGAATTAAATATAATTTTTTTATTTTTGAAATTTTATAATTTATTAGTTTAGTTTATAATATGATTTGTATTATTAATACTATTATATTCGTTATATGCTTCCTAAGAATTAGTTTTATGTAAATTGAGTTAATTATAACTATTTTATATTTAATAATTATTAAAAATATTTATTTCAGTTTTAGGTCTAGCAGAATTATTAAAATGATAATTGATATTATGTGATTATTAAAAATTAGAATGAGGAGGAGATAAGACATTAATAGACTTTTCTTAATGAGTATTCTTAGGTTTATTAATTGTAATTTATAAAGGAGAAGTAATATTTTAATCAAACTTATTTTCATCTTTATATATTTAAAATTGTTTATTTTACTACTATTCTTCAATATTTTTAAATTCTATATTATTATCACTCGTAAAATTATTATTTTTATGATTCTCTTCTTTTAAACTATTATTATCTTAGTTATTTATTTTATTATCTATTAAAAAATTAAACTATATATTATCTTTATTTTAATTAGTATTAGATATTTTGCAATTTTATTATATATTCCTTGTTGATAAAAACTCGTTCTAATTATTATTTATTATTGTTAAATCTTTTAAACTTGCTGGCCGAACTAATGAATATTAAGAATTCTTAAATATTATTAAATCTAAAGCATTTTCATCTATAAATTATTTCAAGAATTATGAGTCTTTGTTAAATGCTACATTTTAACAGAAATGTTCTAGTTTTTTTGAGTTATAAGGAAAGCATTATA